AGTAGAACGTAAGTTGGTAGTGCATAAAGTTTTATTATTTATTGCATTTTGTTCATTCAGTTGTGGAACTGTACACGCTCCTACTTGCCTACAGTTTGTACCACGCATTGCTGTACATCTATGGCTACCCGGATGCTGATAAAAGAAAACACAATGAGACTTGTTGATATTTTTTAAATACAATTTTAATAACAGTAACCTTTATTTATTTTGTCAAGTTGCACTTATTGAAAACATAGGGCAAGCTCGATATACCTTTTTTTTGAATAGACATTCTAATAGCGTTCTGTTTGCTAAAGAATCCATCAATGGTGAACGCTCAAAACAACTTTACTTTTTTAGAAAGCTTTTGGTGATACTCAAAAAATGTTATTTATTTTGTTACAGACTGAAAGAAATCTACATAGATCAATCCCGGGGTTAAGTCTAAGTGATACAAAAAGAATCTTGGGAGTACCTAAAAATAGATAAACTGTGTGCAATGGGTTGGGACACAGAATATAGAGCAAACAATTATTCTATAGTCTGTGGTTTGAGGTTGAATCTTAAGCTTTCAGTACATAAGTCAAGAATAAATCATATACAATTGTACTGAGGACATTACAGTCAGTCATTCCTATCTATTCAATGCCTAAAATATCACGTTTATAATGTTACAAAATATTACAAAACATATTTATTAATTTAAATATCAATCATCTCAATAATAATGATAGGTCCTCAATTAAATGCTCTACTATACATACTAATGTGTAAAATGTGATACATTACTTCATATAGGTATAAATATGTAGAGTTTAATCTAGTACTCAATAAAAATAAAAATATTTAATTTAATCAATTGCTCTATATACATAAAAATATAACTCAATTTTGCGTGTAAGCAACTGATTGAATATGTTTGCCTTCATTAAATATAAATAATCAATCACAGAGACATAGTTATTCGTAACACACTGGACATGAAGGTGAGCTTGTTTTTCTTCCAATCGTGGAAAAACAAATGGAAATAAATGAAGGCCAGCAAATGGAGGATAACAAGAAACCAACGGCACACCTTATACCCTTAGGTGATTTATAGTCAGTGGTGTTTCGAAGTTTTAACCAAACTTGAAGCAAAAACACAAATGTAGCCTATTATTTTGACACTTTCGTTAATATGCTCGTATAAATATTAAGATTTTTTTTATACAAATTTATAACATGGAATATTGTTTATTGTAAACGAACTTACTCTCCATATGATTTGATCTCAAATTTATTACTATCATATTGTCAAATTTCAATAATGTGACCTTTTCCGTTAATACACTACCACTATTGGAATGTGGTTAGGTTATGTTAGGGTTTTCTAACTCTATACTGACATAACCTAGCCTAATCAAAGTTTAATTCACTACCACTTTTATTGCTAATAACCTATTGCTTTAAAAACTAGTGGTAGTAAAGTAACGGAAAAGGTTCAAATTGTGTTTACATAAAAAATGTCCAAAATACATATTTATAAAAAATAAAAAGTGTTGTACAACCCTATTGAAGCAAGGAATGCAAACAGAAACGTATAACAATCGAGGTAAAAAAAAACCAATTAAATCTGTCAATTCTATCTGCCATAATCCTTTTTTGCTGTTTGTTACAAAAATACGCTTGAAATTTGAGCTAGCAGAAACAATTTTATGGCCTTTTGATTGTTTGAGTTTAGTTAAAATTATGAATTATTATTGGTTCGTGTGAATGTGTTGTTTAAACAAATAAGTTAAAGAGGTCCATCAATAACATTTGAGTAAAAGTAAATACTTGATGACCTTGTATCCAAAAGAAAGTCACTCACGGGCGAAAGAGCACCTTTTGAACCAGAACGGAGTTAATCGCTACGGCCTCTGCTTGTTTTGTTTTTCTTCTGTTCATTGAACATTGACTCTGTTTTGCATTGATTGTAATCAAGGTCATTACTCTTTGACTGATTTCCACAATAATTGTAAATCAATATTAAATCAATTTGTGAAAAATAGAAGCGTCTACTTGGACTACCATCAAACTGATGTGACGTTTAGGTCGCATAACTTTAATTGTAAAATACAATTTTGTATTTTTTCGGTTGGATTTAAAGACTTTTTGTTATTAGTTACAAATGATTCCTTACTATTGTCTCCAAATTGTCAATCGTACCACGTTGGTTTTGGTTTTACCTATCACAAAGAATGTTGAATATTAAAGTATTTAATTGATCCTAAAATCTGTTGAAGCAAACTAACGCATACTTTCTTTCATAAGCTTTGCAACAGCAATGATGAGTAAAAGTGAGTGAAGTACATGTAACTATGTAATTTTATGCGGACGATAAAAAAAAATAATCTTTATACATAATCCTTACAGCATTAGGGGTTGTACCACTTTGTTTAAAGTTCAAAGGATCATGACCTACTAAGGTTCAATAAAAGACGCTGTAGTCGTTTTTATAAAAAATCTGATTTTCCAGTTATCCTAATGGGGCTTAAGTAAAAAATCCCCATTACAAACCAAAACTGAAAGATATTACTAGAGAGATCATAGTTTTTACATTTATAAAAAATTTATACAAATTTAACCACAGGTGTAGTGTTAGCTGGGCACACATCCTCCAAACCCCATTTGACATGACCTAATCTAAAATCATCTAGTCAAACCTAGCCTAATTCAACCTAACATAACTTATTTGCATTAGAGAAGTATTTTAACACTGGGGACCCTCTTTAAAAAAATCCATACAATAATCTTGTAAAATTCTGATTTGTAAAAAAAGGTAAAATCCTAATATGTTCTAAAATCTTCTACAATTAGATATAACTTTATCGAGTCGAGTCATAATGTTTCAAAGGCCTGAAGAGACGTTACATTTAGAGGAAGCTTCATGCCAAGGTGGAGGCGGTAGCGTAACGGTCACACACGTGACCAAGCGTGACCTGCCACGCGCTGTGGTCTGTACTGCACATGCGTACAGCGTGACGACTACAGCGCAGTGCGCAGTACATCCTAGGAGCTAACATGTTGGATGTGGAGCGACTACAGCGCAGTGCGCAGTACATCCTGGGAGCTGACATGTTGGATGTGGAGGGGGCAGCTCATTCAAGGTTGATGTCATTATTGGTTTTGCCAAATTATATTTTGGACAATGTACAACAAACCAGTTGTAAGTCGATACGTAGCTTTCTTTAGCCAGTGAATTATTGGACATGTCATAAAATTGCAGAGCTTGAAATATAAAACTATTCAATGTAATGACAGAATTCTACGATACAATAATGAAACCTTTCAAGAGTAATGAACTCGTGAAAGAGGAATATTCGTTAAGCTCACTCAATTCCACGTTCAAAGAGAATACCATTGAGGTTTGGCAATCAGTTCGATAAAAGAATTTCCTTTATTGCTATCGAAATATAATCCACTTTGCAATTGGAATATATTTTTGCAGAAATAAAAAAATATCTCTAGCGGATTTCTAATTATTTTTTACTTTATGTCAAAGGTTTGTTATTTTAACATTAGTAATAATAGCATACTATTAACAATTTCTTTGTTTAATAGCCTTATATATTGTATTATTGATGTTGGAGACTTAAAACTTTAAAAGAAGAATATAAATAATTTCATATAAAATATAAACAAAAAAATTTCCTAAAAACTGTTGCCTTTTAAAAGTTATTGTTTTTAAATAGCATTTATATAATTATAAGACAAACTATTTTATAGTTACGATATCTTTTTCATTCTTAAGTTATTTTTATCTGTATTTGATCAGGAGTATTCAATCAAATCTCTGGGCAATGTAAAATTGATGTATTATTTTTGGTTATTCTGTTCTTGAAATGTAATTTTTAAATATTCTTATCCTACACAGTCATGTTTTTACTTTTCCATAAAAATAACAGAAATTTAGTTATAGCTTGTACTGTATAACCTATATGATGTCCTTACTCCATTAAAAAAATTTCAAAACAATGCAATGAAATGAAAACTTTACCAAAGACTATAATAATAATCAACAAATTAAGGTATTGATTTTTAAAATTACCAAGCAGCAGCATAAGTAGGTTGACAAAGTAACTCTATTTCTATGTTGAAATATTATACTTTAGGAAATAAATAGTTCACATAATTCAATAATCATACGGTCACACATAGTTTATTTATGTAAATTGTTTTCCATTATATACTTCAAAAATTTACTCTATTATTTTTTACAGCATATAAATGTGCATGTGTTTCATTAAACCTATAATATCAAGCTAAATAAACAAAGTACTGTAAAAGTCACCTTATGTTATTTTATACTCTTGGTTGGTTAAGACTTATTTCTACACCAAGTGCCACTAAGGTAAACATGTAAAGCAATATTCGGAAAGGCAACATAGAATTCAGAAACGGAACACGTGTTTACATGTAGCTTTAATCTTCTACGTTACAAACATCATAACAAGTCACATTTCCAAGTTACGTTTCTCTGCGGTTTACCTGGCTTTCTAGAAAGTAATTAAAGCGACTTTTGCTACAAACTTGACGGTTTTGTGAACTTCATTAAGAGAACTTGCGAAGATTCAGTTCGCAATTTAACACATGTTTGTGAGACGTATGTTTTAATTATGTTTAACCAGGCATGATGGCTGTGAAGTAAATTGAAAGAATGTTGATATTTAGGTTAGACGTATTAGAAATTTTAAAATATATTCACATATTTAAGTAGTACAAATGACAAAAACTTTGTTTTATATAACCCTTCGGTAGTCATACAGCACAGAGTGAATCAAAGTATTTTTTCCCAATAAAAAGTAATTTGTTTATTAAATAATACATTTATATTGAATTCATATATGACTTTAAAAACTGGTTTACATCCGAAAATATTAATTCATAGGAAAATACAAAGTATTGCAGTTTGACAGTCAAACTGATATTTATAATAACAATTAAAACTGTAATTTATTAAAATATTATACGCTTTTCACTAATACTAGGAAGTTAAAATAGTTATCTTGTAAGACAAAAGTCATATGCGTTCATATATATATATTTCTTTTTTTGCAGTACGTTTTCTCAATTTCATGACAAAGTAGGTATTAGAACATAAGGCACAAGCTGTAAAAATGTATGTTTTATTGTACACATAACATTTCCTACCTTTACACTTTACAATTTATTCCAAACGTACAGTATATTACACTTTATATTAAAAGGAATTCTCTCTTTCGAATTTTACGACCATAAAAAAGTCTTATAAATATTAAAATTATAACTATTTCTAGACATGTTTTGGGGAATTCAAAACCAAGCGATTGATAAAAATCATTGAAAATTTTCAACTTTTAAAGAAAACCTTTTTATTTTAATATTTTTTTAAACGAGTTTATATATTCTCAATATACAACACAATATATTTTATATATATACACAAACACTTGCATCAAAAACTAGTCAATATCTTTGGTGACACAGAATAATTTGTGTAAGAAATTATATATACCTCAATAAATAAAGTATCTTTGGTCAAGAGATTTTATTTTAAATTTAACAAGACTAGAATATGCACTAGAATATATATAACATTTTAAACTAAGATAAAATATCCTGTGTCAAGGGTTTTAGTTACGTTTAAACAAACAATATGCATTTTATTAAATCTTGGAAAAATATATTTTGGGGCAAATAATTAAATAGATTTCAATTTTTAAAACATGTTAACGTGTTTCTCTATTAAAACGGTTTCATCCATATAAAAATAAAACTGAAATGATCAACATTAAATTTTATTTCAACCAATAAGTTCCTATATTTTTACTATAAAATACATGGTCGATAAGGGTATAACTACTTTAAGTACCCTGTACAAATTCAACAGTCAACGGCTAAATTACATTGAAACATAATACACATAGATAAGAGTAGTAACTATATACATGTTAATCTTTGTACAAGATAAGGTAACAGAACATGAGTCTGTAAAGTTTTCTCATGCATTTAGAGATATTCTTGATGCATTAAAATAAATATGCAAAATGTATAGTATGATTAGATTGTTAGAAGGGAAAATCCATTTTTTTTTAAACCAGGCTAATGATTAATAATTAATTTTAAGTGCTCTTGGGGCCTTTTTTATATAACAGTTTGTTTATAATAGTTAGTTCATTGTGTTCATAGGGTATTAAAAGGAACCTATAGGATACTAGAAAAAAAACTAAATTTATCAACTCAATAATATTTTTAAACAAAAAAAAATTGTGACAAATTCGTAAAATTGTTATTTATTTTGTTTTTTAAATCATGGCACTATTTAAAACTGTTTATCATGTAAATATAATGAAATCTAGCAAATTACTTTGTAATTTAACTTTGCTTCACAATTTAAAATATTGAGAAAACTTTACAGACGTATAAATTTTAGTAACAAAACGATCACAATATAAATGTAACGTAACAAAACAGATTAGGTAAAACTCAAAATCAACACACACAAGCTTTAAGACGAGACCCTTGTTGTCCTGAATGTGAAACCTCGGACTCAACGGATATTGTCACCACAAAGCTGGATACTTTGGAAGCCAACAGCATCACCATGTACCTTAAATAAAAATCAAAATAGAATTTTTCGTTTTATTTTCATCATAAATAAATGTATTGGCCGTTATAGAGTTCAAAAACTAGGTTAATGATCTCAAAGAGGAATTAATAAAGGTCAATAGACATTTAAACTTTATTTAAAACACTAGTGTTCGGGATTCTACATTTTCTCGAAGCCTCATTTGAATCTACTAGAAAAATTACCTCAAAAAATTTATGTAAAATGTATGCAAATTTATGTTTTAACTATATTAGAAACTTTTAATGGAAATGTATGTATATTTATCCAGAAAAAAGTTATATTAGAGTAACAAGAGAGTACATCCAGATATATAGTGATATATTTATTGTATTTTCATGGCAATAATAAAAATCTTTACAAGATATTAAATTATACTAATCATAATTTGCGAATCACCTCATTCTCATAGCTGTATACTCGAGACGGCTGCAATGATGGACAATAGGATCACAGACCAAAATGAAGGTAAGGTAGAACTGCTACTTGCTAAAACATCAAAACAAAGAAAAATAAACTTACAGCATTGGTAAAAAAACTACTGGTGAGCGTAGTAAAAAATATATATATCCCTGATAAAACCATAAATATTACTTTTCCTACAGTTAACTAACAATGTACATGTTCTCTCACTGATTTGAGAAAGCAAAGTGGCCAATTCGCTCATCAGTGAGACAATGTTAACATTGTCTCACTCTAATTACTTTGTCTCACTCCAGATTTGCAACGTGAGGGCACGAAATAGTGAGCGCGTAACATGCAGGCCATGTCGTATGCGCGCGAAATACGTTGGCAGCACTGGCTGTAAATCAGCTGGTCAGCTGTTGTACTGTTGTATTTGTCACTTCACATTAAATGTTATATTAAAAGTTCACTTCTGTGTAAAAATAGGTTATGTTTCTTCACAAATTTATTTGTTTTATGGTAACTGTAGGAAAAGTATAATGTGCAACTCGAGTTCAAAGTACAATTGCCTCACTCGAGAAACCATTCCTCACTCGCCTACGGCTCGTGAGTCAATTGCTCACTTTTCTCACTAGTTGCACAAATAACTATAAGTTGCTTAACCAGACGTACGGAAAAATAAGTTTTTCACCAATTAGTTTTCAACTATTCATAAACATGGTCTAACTTTTCGTACAAACGCAAACTAGTGGAAATATTTCAAAGCAACTGACATGAATTTTTAGTTGTATTTACTTTTATCATATCGTGAAAGTATAGGAAAAAAGTTTATTTATCAACTCTTGTATCATTCAAAGTATACAAAAAAGATGGGATATTTTACAACATCCCGATGTTATGAAATTAGGCCACATACTCAAACTGTTAAGATTTAAGAATTTTACAAAATCAACTTCATATATTAAATGTATTAATTTATACCAAACTTTATCAAAACGTTAGTTGCTTAACATTATTGCAAAAAGTTGTAGCTAATAAATAAATAGGTTCTCCTAAGAGTAAAATCTCATTATTTTATGATGCTTTTATTGAACACATGTAAATGTGATGAAATGTACAATAAAGGTTAGCCATTAAAAGCTTAGAAGGAACATTAGCAATCAAAATAAAAGTAAAATTGCTGCGTGATTTTTCACCTAAGTGCTAAGTTAATAGCAATGTTTTTAAGCTATATGAAAAGCTTTAAATGCTCAATGTGGTAGTATTTTATCAATTCACTAATTAACATATGCAAAGTCCGTTTCGTTCCGCTTGAAAGACACACAAATATAAAAAAAAAATTTAAATTCCACATTTTTTCTCTCCTAGAAACATAAATGTTAAGGTTTTAAAGCAGTTGCCACATCTTCACTAGCACAAACAATAAAAATAAACATAAAAACCATGCCAATGACAAAGAGACAGTAGAAGCAGGTGCTCACAGCAATTGTACAAGCACATTGAAGGAATAAAGACAAAGCAGTGGTTTAACTATTGTTATGGTTTCTGTTGGCGTGGGGGGGAGGGGGGGATTTGTGCTAAGGGGGAACAGAACGTGCTATCCCTCCACCAGCTTACCCCCAGAAGTCGGCTGGGTTTCCCCAAAATCTGGGTGGATTGGGGTAGACTGCGTGGTGGGGGGCCCTATAACAACAATTAAAAATTGTCGTCACCAGTGTTTGCTAATAGGAAAACGATAGTTGAAGTCTAACAAAGATACATTAGTAACAGGTGATACAAATTTTAACCAATCATTATTAAAACGTGTGCATAAATAAAAGAGTGCATTTTGAAATGAATTAATTTTGGCCGTTTACATAGGTAAAGTAGTTTGTTTACATAGGTAAAGTAGTTTACTGTTTTCTTTAGGGTATGATAATATGACTGATGCCATAATTTAAATTGCATAACGAAGAGTTTCAATAAAAAACAAATATATAACTATGTGTCATGAAACTATCGACTTGATGTATTTTCTTTCGCGTGTGATGCTATTTTGATTAGTACCTGAAGATTCATTTCAGTTCAAAGGAATAATGCTCTAGCTTCACCAACGATAATAATACTCGACAATCCATGTATTTTTATCACGGCCAGTCATATTCTGGTTGATAACTAGTCACCAGTTGTGTGTAATTAGTATTTTTTTGGGTCTAAAGTGACGTATAGATTAACTCTAAACTTCAAGTTCGAGGGTAGGAACTGTGATAATTTGATTGTATATATTGTTTTGATCAAGAGTAAAATGTTAACTTATTGACGTTGGACAAATTAAGGTTCTTAATACATTTTGCTCTATATTAAAGATTATACATAGGACGAGTAATTTGACACAAAATATTTTTAATTTGTAAAAGGAAAAACATACCAATATAATCCTTAAGTTTTAAGATTAATTGTTGTGGTTGTCATCATATAAATTATTCGTTGTTGTTTTTTTGAAGAGAATATCATAGGTTGAGTTTTGATTGGTTATTCAATTTTGAAACAATAAAATTAAAAAACATATAGTTTTAAAGAATTTTCAATAGTACTTGAACATAGACTTAGGAACTAGTGTATAATAAAGATTACAATGTATTGATGTGTTTATGGCGCAACTATAAGGCAGTCAGCTTAGTTGCTTTAACACACAAACACACACACTGCATTTTGAAGCAGCATTAGAAACTGTTACAAAATAAGCTAGATAAAGTGAGTATGTCACGTATCCAGCTAAGCATAAAACAGAAAGCTCTAGAAAACACTGCAGATAAACAATATTTATTACAGTTGATGAAGTTTACAATCTTTTAGTTAATTTGAAAATATTTTACAAAAGTAAAAGATATCTTAACATGTTGAAAGATTTTCTAACAATGGAAAGTGTAGTCTTCTTAATTTAACTTTCCGTAGCTATTTGTATATTTGATAAAAGAATCCCTTACCTGGAAAGTATACCAGTTTTCTCATATTGGAGTATTTGGCGTCTGGTATACTTAGTTCACACATAAAAGTAGTTGGTGAGTTGAGGTCCACGTCGTCTACTGTCAGGGAACCTTTAATGTCATAAAGGTTACTATTGTTCTGCTTCTTTGTTGTTACCGTCGAGAACCCAATGTTACTGGTGCTGGAAAACAAATGTTATTGTTTATTTGGGAAAATAATAATTACCATTGTTGAACCTGTCTCAGTACAGAAGAAAATCTCTGAACTTATAATATGCAGGATTTTCTGTAAATGATACAAAGTGGGATTTTATGTATTACGTAGGGCAAAATTCCAATTTGGTGGTGTTAAAATTTGAAATTTAACTCGTGACAATACATGCCTAAATTTTAAACAATGATGTATGCCTATGCATGTTTTTAGGATTACACCCTACCGGTTTAATTTGCCATGTTAATAAATCTCGAATATACATAGGTGGATGTACATGTTACCCACTTTAGGAGGAATATATTTGAAGCTTTTTGAGTAGTGGCAGCTAAGTCTAGTTTTAACTATGAATAAAAATTATCAAAGGGGTTGTCAAATATATGAAGTTTAACACAGCATAAGGTTGGATAGAAAAGTGTTTGATGCCACTACTGCATATCTTTAAACTTTTTTATAAATCAAAATGTGTTAGACCTATGTTTCTTAAAAAAAAAAAATCCATTGCTGTAATTGTGTTTCAGTAAATTTAACTATGATGCTTGATTTAAAGTAAAACTTTCAGTGCTATTTTTAAAGCTACTTTGTAACTATAAACATGTTTATTATGTAATGCATACTTAGTAAATAATACTAATGTTTATTATGAGTATTGATATGCGTAACATAAGGGATTTTGCTAATAATACTGTATACAACTTAAAACCACGTCGTACAATAATTGACTTTTATTTTAAAATTGGTTGGTCAAAAATCAATAGTTTAGAACATTCACAATTTTAATGAAAAGATAATTAAACTTTAAAATTCATTTTAGAATGATAAACTATTTACATTCTAAAATGAATGTTAAGAATACATATTATTGCTATGATTTTGTCCTCATAGGTATAACAATTATTTAATGCATCGTTTTACTTTAAGTAATTACTTTAAGAGCCCTTGGGGCCTAGAAGTTCTAACTCATAAAACAACTACAAAGAAAAAGTTTAATCCCACAGTGCCCTAGATATTTATATCAATATGACTTTGGTATCCGAACAAATATTTAGGGATGATAAATAACTCTCTAGCAGTTGTTTGGAAATAATCCAATATGGCCGCAGCCTCTAAAGAAATCTTAAGGCTAGAAATGTATATTCAAGATTATTTTAGGACGTGAATGTTTATTATACCTGACTACGCCTGCTTATTCCAATATTACTGTTGACCAAAGTCAGTAAATATTCATATTTATTATTTCTCTATGTGACTATGTACCTGTCCAGCGCCTGAATGGTCATATTAGGTTCAGGGAAGACTCCCTCAGCTGTGCAGTTTATAGTCACTCGATCATCCCTAGGTTTCTCTTGCGTCATGTCGAGACTCTTCTCAGGCACTAAAGACAAAAATGTAGTTTATAATCTTATGAACTAACTTAAGGTAAGTTCGAATGATGCTGTTTAACATTATATTGTAGAAGTATAAAATGAGAGGTTTTTGAACAATATTTAATACATTACGTAAATTTGCTATGTAATCAATTATGATTGCTGAAGGCCATTAGATGAGATGATATTTTCCTAAAACATTCTTGATGAATTTCCCCAACAAATATATAAATTACACCAAATAAGGAAGGATTTTATGACTTTATTAGTAGGGATTTTACCTTATGTGTTTTCTTATTTATTAATTTGGTATGTTCAATATTCCTCTGAAACCTATATGTATTGTTAAACCAAAATATATTTCACGTTTTTGAAAACCAAATAAATTAATAAATATATAAAGGATGTTAAAAAGGCTTAACACACCCAAAAATAAATGAAACGGCTTAAGAAAACATTTTGCAACTTCAAAACTTATCATTATACTATTATTTATAATGGAAGGTGTTGGTTTTTTTATTCCAGATCCATATTATAAGTGTTTTAGGCCGCCAGTATGTACAGGTTGGTGGTAAACAGTTTTCAATCACACCGTACGTTTTCTTTTAACAAGACCTTTAAAATGAGGGGTCACAACACGGGTCCTTACTTTTAAAAATTTTGAGTTACCCCCTGTCTACTCTAAAAGGGGGAGGGGGCAAAACTTAGATTTCTTGAAAAGTCATCATAGAATGATATTTTGAAGTTGCAACATTTAATATTAAGCATTTTAATCTTTTTGGATGTGTTAAGAATTTTTCAACACTCTGTATATATATATATTAGATCTCTATTAGATCCAATTGATGTTGGTGTAAAGTAAAGGAAACGATTTTAATTGCAACTATACACTAAAGTACCCTTCTCAAACAGTTACAAATATATCATTAAACATAATATCAATTAAAAATTCTGTAAAATAGTGAGGAAACTGTATCGCCACCGTAACCTCATCAAAAGAACATTGTTAACGGCCGGAGATAGAACACTTGAGAATTATCTTCTGGACAGAAAGATACTTAATATCTCATTCGTCTCAGTATAGATGTAATCAAAAGTGGCTTTGCTTGAGAACGAGAAATAGCCATTCTAGAAGCATTAGAGGCTCGCAACACAGTTGAAGTCGATTACTTCTCACTCTACGAAACATTTCAGATGCCTGCTACTGCTGTCTAGATTACCACTTTTATTAAAAAGTATGTTGGAGGAATTCAGTTTCATAGATCTTAATTTTCATTAGTGTATTACCCATTGTTATAAAAGCTTGTAAATAATATTAATTACTTAATTTCAAAACATATTGTTTAACCTTTCAGATACAATTTAAGATCGTAGTTTTTTGCTCTTAACTGTTTGGGAATAAAAGCAAAACAATCATGAAAAATCTAAATTTCAAAAATAGGTTTTCATTAATTAACTATGTTTAAACCAACAATACTTCCATCTATATATTAATAGGCAAGCATGTTTCTTTAAAACCTTTTTTCTCAGCTCGTGTGCGTCAGAGCTGAAATCCACGCATACTGTTAGAAAGATATTTGTCAGTAAATGTGCGGGATACCTATTTTTATAAATTAAAATAGACACAAAAAATAAATATTTTTTTATTATCATGGATTTGATGAGTTGCCATGCTGGTGACAAAATAACAATGAAATATAAACAGAAAATCAAAACAAACGAAAAGAATCCCATGTTTTATTTAGAGATTGGGGTAAAAATAGTCTGTACCATACTTACTGTATGTATATCAATATTGCCTTAGTTTTTAAAACATGTATATTTCAGGGGATTTAAAATAGCTGCATGGCTAAGGATACATCATAATTAATAGGTATGTATAAGCGGAAATCATACAGAAATGTATTGGTAAATATATAGACGCTGACTCACAAGATTGTGTATTTGAAATGAAGATGAGCGAAGGACGAAATATGATGGATTTGTCGCTGACCAGCTGTTTCATTTTTATCCTGCTATATTTATTTAAAGCCTGATCAAGCACAGCTGGTTTTGAATTCAAACAAACAAAAAACAGCTGACTCATCAGTTGAACCAGCAATGATTACATTACATGATTACTTTAAACGGCACTATTTTACTTCAATTTCCAGCTACATACAAAATATGCATGGAAACTGAAGAGGAAAAGATACAGCAGAGTCGGGGTACTCAAGAAGTTTGTTTAGGAGTCGTATAAATTGTAATTACAGTTAGCGGAACCACATTCTGTCTAATGGAGTTTAAGCAGTCTAAGCTAGTTGGCTGTTTTCCATACCATTTCCCAGCTCCGAATTCCAACCATCTAGAATCTAACTTTTCACTAACCATAACTTTTTATCGTTCCTCATTTTGCATTCGGAGAAATGTGTTGTGATAACATTGTACGTTTGAGAGTGAATTACGTTTCGGTGTCTTGTATTCCATTACGATTGTTTTAATACTTTTTATGTAGGGTGTTGTAGGAAAATAAGAGTGTTAAACAGGTCATGATTGGTTATTCTTGATTGAAATGGGGATTTAATTGGTCGTATAGTGAAGCGTCAAGGTAAAGATATTATATTATTATTTAAAATGTCTTTATAATGATAACTGTAGGTTTTATGGAAGGCTTATATTTAAAATGAAAAATATAAGCTAAATAGTCGTTGTACTATTCCACGGAGGTACGTAGAACCTGTGGTTGGCTAATATTACACTGAGTTACCTAAGATTCGTCAATATACTTATTAGTTATTTACTGAAACCCCATTAGATGCACTGCACCTTGGGGTTTACCACCATGGCCAGAGATTGCATTTTGGAGATTGATACAAATCCCTCTATACAAGTATACATATCGTTTACAACACTGTGTTCTACATGGTTTGGTAATGAGCTGATTAATTGTTTACAAACCTTTACACACAATGTACTGTGTAGTATACCACCAGGTGTATGGATTGTTGTAGTTAAGAGATTAATAGAAATTCCTCACTACAAGTAACCATTAACCGGACTAATGTAGTCCTTTGTTATACAAGTTTTGGTGGTGTTCTGATTATTCAATGACAAACCGTTACATTGAACACACTATGAAGTGTACCACCTACATAGTAGGGTTTATGTTTTGAAGATTAATACAAACTCCTGTCTACAAGTAGACATTACCCAGGGTAATGTTATACTGTACTTTGTTATACAAGTCTTGGTGTTGTACCGAATATTTATTGAAAACTAATTACGTATTATATGCAGTTTACTTCGAAGCTTATGAACTGTATTTCGGGGATTGATAGAAACTCTTATCTGCAAGCAGTCATTCAACATACTAATGTAGCATTTTTTATACAAGTCTTGGTGATACAGGCGATCAGGGTAAAAGCTATGGACAATGTAGTACGCTGTTAGGGTTTGTTGTGTTGTTGAACATGTACATTGATTTACTATCGTTTTCTATTTACACATCGTGCATACAATATAGCTAAGAAAAAGTCTGTAAGTGTGTTATAGGTTAACATTAATAAATATAAAATGCTAAAGTAATATTAATAATAAATCATGATAAGTGAGATATTAAGAGGATATTGCATTTGTTTTATTGAACATGCTTTACATTTGAGCATTTTAGCATAGCTTTGATATGGCTTTATTCAGTTGAGTAGAATCAATGTAATAGTATATTTCGTACCAAGGGCCGAAAATGAGGTTTTGTCGGCTCGAGATAGTTTTTAAGTTCGAGACGAAGTCGAGAACTTAAATCGATCGAGAGCTGCTAAACCATTTCGGTCCGTGGTACGAACGCTATTTTTCACCACACTATACCCTATTACCACTATTCACCACTATAATAATGCACACGGATAGTCAACACAACTACAACTTTAAGGTTAAGAAATAATTTGTGGAATCAGCAAAAATATAAATAAATAGTTGCTAGGCAACAGTGACAATAACACAATTCTATATTGCAATGCTATGGATTTTAATTGTGTATTTAAAACGCATTCATGTTCTAAGTAAGTAAGTGGACAGCTGGTTTTGCGGCCCCGGCCTGTAAAAACCTGCTTGGTCCCCAAATTGGCGACAGCTGGCATGGCCAGCAAAACGTAACTTTCAGCCACCAATTAACGTATGTAATACAGCCAAAAACATCATAGTGTGGTGAAAAAATATTTTAAATTAAACAAAAAAATTCTCACTCGGATTATAAACGAAACTGAAATACCATAACAAATAAATATAAATGAAATACCATCATTAGTTCTCCTTAAGTGTTTACGAAAATCTCTGTTTATAAAATCAGTAAAATCTTTGTAAGTCGTTCAAATTGACTTTCCAATTTGATAAACCAATTTATACAATAGTATACAGAGCGTTTGAGAAAATTGCTGTCAAAGTAACATGTAATTGACGAGTAACTGGTTTTAAAATTTCAAAATGAATTCATTAAAACAAATGTTCAAGCATGGCTGTTCAACTTTAATTCTCTTTGATGCACTTAAACAACAAAACTATTGGAGGAATGTGGGCATTAAGTGGTACTCAGCAGGTTGAATAGTCGGTGGTTGAAAATGGAGGGATGTAAAACCCCCAAACACTCCGGGCATGTAACACCTGTTAATAGGGTTTAGTGGCTAAGCAATGGCGACTACCTTTCATTTGGTAGGTTATGGTTTGCCTTTTGCAGCAATCATTTACTTCTTTATGGTAGTAGCTATTGTATGAAAAGTAAAATATACATTTTGATTATTGATTAAAACACAATTTAAAGCTACGAAGAGAGAGCTAAATGTATGAATTTTAATGCGGGAAATTGATGAGTACTGAAAATGGTCTTTACAATACTAAGACCTATTTTATTTTATTTTCTAGAAAATTTAAATTGTTTCATCCTGATTGGCTTAAATCATTCCGACATATAGGTCTCATCGCTAAAGACCAATTTTAAACTGACAAAAAATCTCACTGAAATGAAGTTCTAGGTATTTTGCACACATAACATAGGTTTTATATTGTTAATCCAAGTTAAGCAAACGGATTTTATTGCCCTAGGACGCTAGGCACGAGCCCGGAATTGTTTTTCGCATTACTTGAGGATAGATCTAGGTGTTGCGGCATCATCACATGGATGGTGATTTGGCGGGATTTGAACCCGGGACCCTGGAACCAAAGTCCCGCGTTCTAACCTTCTGTGAAAACGGATTAGTGCAACACCTGGTTAAGCTAAGTGAACGACTTTGTAATTATACTACTTATAGCCCATGCATTTGTTTATTTGTGTGTCTACGTCAGAGAAATGTTTTATGTTTTGTATTTATAAGGGAACGGTCAAAACCCTGGTATTATTACTAGCTAACGACAACACTTTTGTTGGATAGCATAATCAATTCCTTAGCCCAAAGACAAAATGGTATCTGGGTTTTGACGAACTCAAATAACTCACCTCAAATCGTACAAGCGACCTTAAATTTTAAGGCGAGGAATATAACCAATCGGATACCCCCACAATCAATTACATTACTATGAAATATTATTGGATAATGTAACCATGGCTAAAACATACGTTCACGCACGTATCTCAAGGGAACGGTGTGGAAACAAGTTTGACTACATTTCAATTAACGATCATGTAAAAAACTTGTACAAATTGTTTTTAGCTGCGTTTTGAACACGGCCGTTCCTAAACCGCGAAATATGAACGTGTCGGAGCTTCACAAACGATGCCCGAGGGGACAGAATAACCAGTGTAGCATAAAAAATATCTGTTCCCACCCAGACACTGATACCGCTATAAATATTTGTGGCTTTATCGCTTTAAAATGCCGTCCAGTTTAGGAATTTACCTGTGAAAATACCAATGTGTCAGTGAGTCATTGTACTTCAGCGTGACGTTGTTATTTGTATAACGAAAATTATGGAATAGTTTTTTATCCGGTGGTAATTATTTTCAGGTATTACAGTCAGAGATTTGAAGATGGTCTCTGACCTGGATCAGTTAATTAAATAATATAAATGAATTTTATAAATTAGTAATCAAAATAGGCAAGCAATAATACCAAAGATTGTGTTAATGCAATATATCATCATACAATTACATAGCATTCTACCAAGGTCTACAATTTAGAATGTTGTATTCCTAAAAAGACTAAAAAATAAATTTTACTTAAATTTTGGTTAAGAAACCTGTTGTAGATTTTCTTCAACTGATATTATTATAAATAATTCCTGTGTTAATGCAGTTCTATAATACAGTGTGATTAAAAAGTCCCGGAACGGTGGAATATATTTTTTTTACCATTATAGATCAAGTAATGAGACTTGGTATATCAATTTTAACTATAAATGTCTACTCTTTTAAGCTATTATCATTTTTTTATCCGTTAAGGGGGCGAGCTGGCGTAGTGGTTAGACCGCGGGACTTCAGTCCCTGATGTCCCGGGTTCGATCCCCACCAAGTCACCAGTGGATTTTATCTAAGTGATAATGTCACAACGCCTGGGTCTAGCCTGAAGTAATGTGAAAAACAATCCCAGGCTCATAAATGTCTACTCTTTTAAGCTATTAGTACTTTTTATCTCTTAAGGGACTTTTAAATCACACTGTATATATTAATCAATATTTCTGGTGTTTTATGTTGTTAAAATTGACTAGTTTACAAACTCACCATAGACAATCATCTTCTTTGATCTTGAGTCCTCTTTATCGAAGGTAGACACAAGGCACTTGTATTCTCCTGACAACTCAGTTGTTGGTGTTATGATTTCAATTGCTCTGTAAATTAAAACAAAAACACAAATTTATACATCCCGTGAATATGAGAATGATAAGAAATATACCATGAGCCATTTAGACTAGTTTAAACATTTAATAGTATTCTGGTGGTTATAATTGTCTATATTAACATTTTTCAAGCTTGTATGCTGTTTCCTACAGCTAGAAATTATTCATTAAAGGTATATTTAACTTAAAAAATCGTTTAAACCAACCACACTGAACAAAATATATATTTTTTTATAATGCAGTTCTTGTTTCATATACATTTGATGATGACATTATAAAAGTACCAAAAATGTACATAAGGATTTTGTATGTCTTACTCTGGAAATCAAAGGGTTACTTTTATTACGTGGCTAAAGAAGTGATATTGTTCATTCACATACCATTGTTGCTTTAACAATATAGTGATATTTCGTGTCACTTTTCCCTAGGATAGCATTGTTTCACGTACAAGCTTAAGGTCTATGTGAACGAGTAAATTTACAGTACACATATAACAAAGGTACCTTAAAATACATCAAATAAATACTCGACAACTAAAATATTTTAAAAATATTATTGTGCATAACTGTTTCTAGAAAGTTATGATGTCTAAATTTTGTTATAGGGCCTATTTAGTTTTACTTTGCAGTGTTGGGTGTCTATTCACCTTGACAACCAAGAAGTAAAGTTATAAAATACCTCTTCTTTAACACGACTATTTTTCATATAATCAGCTCGACATACCTGTACATTGTTGACTCCTCATTGGTCGCTTTGTAGTTCAGGTTGACTTTGCCCTTAAGGACCCCAAGATCCTGCGGCTTCTTGTTGAAGATCCACTGGTACACAGGCGCTGGATGGTTGTTGAAGAACCACTTCACCACCAGGCCTGACGTGGTTGCTGGTACATCCAGGACATAGTCGCAGTCCAGGATCACTGGCTGCTCCGTCCCGTTCAGGACCACATCTGGAATCTTCAGGTGTCTGATCTTCACTCCTTCTCCACCTAGAAGAGTTGAGAAATGTTATAGTCCTCTAGATAAATTGGAAATTTTTTCAACTCCGTATTTTGTCAATAATAAGAATTTCAGATTGTTTACACTACCGTATACATGTTAAATTTGTATTTTTTTTAGTTCTACGCTGTGCCATTCATAAAAAGAAATTATAACACTAAAAGTGACCTTTCCTAGATACATTGAGGGGTAGAACATGCAAGGTTGATAAGTACTGTGTGATTAAATAATTACAATTAACGATTTTGGACCCTGGATTAAATAGTTCAATCGTAATCATAATTCTATAGTAAAACGATTTGCATCGTTGGATCGGTATTTAAAACAAAATTATGTTATTATAAAAAGATAACAATGCCAATTTCAAGCTTTGATGTTACACTAATAAATTTCTTTACAGTAACTATAAACGCAAATTTAACCGGTGACACAAGCAGAAGATTCGATAAAAAATACAATAAATTCTTAAGTTACATTTTTATCTACCAAGCCCTTTTTTAAAAACGAATATCAAACAAATGCTGTAAAGGAATCTCTGAAACATCTCTGAAAGAAGAAAACGTTATCGCAAGGCTTACAGGAAGTTCACGGAAGATGACCAGATTAACGATCACATACAATGGCGAGGAATAAAATTGTTCATTTCCGATACGGTGTATGATTCCTCCATTCCATGACCGTGACACGATATAGACAGAGGAACATGTGAAATGGACTGCTGGGGCGACCGTTATATAAATAGGGAACCCAGGAAATGGTCTGCGATGACCCACAATGCAGTATGCATAGCAAGACGATCAGATATGGGTAACAATTTCCAAACCTGTGTAACTGCCTGGACAATCTTGTAGTATTGTTATGGCAGATACAAGTACTCCAGGGTTTAGAAACGATTCTATCGGTGTACTTGGGATAATAGTGTTTGTTGATGGTTTGCAGGCAGTAAAATGGTCTTTCAAGCAATCCTAGTTGGATCTTTTCTTTAGTCAATTCATATTTTAAAATATCTATTACAAATTAGTATTTCAAAATTATTCATTTTTAAAATTAATTACAAATGAACGACGAGTTGTAAAGTACACGTAATTTTATCCTATATGAGTATAGTTTACAAAAAAATTTCAAACAGTATTTAAAGCATCTACTCATTTAAATTCAAGGCCACAATAAATCACAAGTTTTTTTGTAGCATAGGTAAAGAAAACCTACAGAAGTATATTTACTTGTAAAATATAGTATTCAGGTACCAATCTGAACCACAAACCACATTGGGATCGACCACACGACCGCAGAGCTCGTGGTCTGAAAGGCTTCTTCCTGCTTCCTCAAACCTCGGCCGCTCGTCAGCTGCTTGCCACATGGTGCAATCGATACACCACAACACTTGCGATCATCAAACATTGCCACCTACGAGCGAGGGTGCGTCCGCAACGGGATTATAGATCAGTGTTATCATAGACAAAAAGTATTAAATATAGACTGTCAGCTGTGCTGTTGTTACCATAGTTATCATATGCTCTGGCGTACACCGCTGGGACCAACGGGTAGTACGTAGAGCGTAGGCCGTAACTACATGGTACTCCCAGTGGTGTGCACCAGAACCTATGGTTACCGCAGCACAGCTGACGGTCTATATATAATCCTTTTTGTCTATGGTGCTATCCAGGTTCAAATGAGAACTGGATAACCCAGCTGTGTGCTGTGCTGAGTCGAAATACTTAAATGTAAATGTTTAAAACATTGCCACCTACAAGAGAGGTTTTGTCTACAGGATAATTAATGAAAGTGAATATTAGGACATATACATGTATCTGCAATGTTGGAAGGTTCAGGATATGACACAATAGTGTCTAATATTGTAATAATCCGAGTAAGAAAATTAATGAGATAAATCTACGTAATCGTGAAACGAGCTTGACAATCCAAATAAAACAGTTCAGCCTGCATTAGTACAGCACAAAACGGTCCCAATAAATGGAAAAGCCTTACACAGTTTTTATCCATAAATAAGAGTAAACAGAAAATATTGCACATGCTTTCTAACACCTGAGCTTTCTGACTTGTCGCGTTAGAGAAACGGCACCCATATATTCGCATTAAAGGGATTATTGCAGTTTCCAGTTTAAAACCGAATGTGAACCGCGTTGTGAAATGAAAGCAACCTTAAATTTCGTTCAATATGACACCTTATGGTTCGTTCATTGACTACATATACCAAATTACCCATAAAAAGTTAGTATTGATTTTAAAAGTTTGGGTTTGTTTTATTAGATTTTAGCTAATAACGACACAATATTCTCAAATATTTTTTGAACAATTTTAAAACTGCACGTAATAGCTACATAAATAAAAAATTCATAATTATAAAATAGCAACTACTGAAAGAACATTAAAGCAATATAATAAATGATCCGTTGATGGGAAACACATTCTTGAAATAAAATGTACCAATCCAAACACATTATAGGAACCTTAACATAGGTGTATAGTATTATTAGTTGAATAACTTTTATCCTTACTTATCACAATATTACGTTATAATTACCATTTTTAACCCCATGAATAGAAAATTTAGTTTTTGTCTGTTACTACAACCATGTTACATCCTACCTATATATATTTTCAGATTGTCAAAGATTGTTTATTCGAATACTTAATATGTATACACGCTTCCAAACTAGTGCCATCTTTCAAGAATCCGTCATCGTTCTATATTTATAACGCAAATATGTACATCCCCTCGATTAAAAACATAGAGAGAAAATTCCGAACGATACGAGTTGTTTGTTTGTGGAATGGGTTACATAGCAAACACTGCCTGGGCTTGTTCGGCCACATGGGTACAAATGTCAGGTTGTACGGTGGCTTGGGCAAATTGTCAATATCATTAATCGGATCGATATTGCATACTCCCGGTTCAATTATTTTATCACACAAGCCACTTAAAATTATTAATTACTCGGTAAAATATTGAAACTTGTTTTTCGTTTGCTTAGTCACACAAAAGGTGTTCCTAAAATGTTGAAGAAATTATATTTATGTAGAAATTTTATTTTATTAGAAAAAGACATTTTTTGGTACCAAAACACATACTTATGGAGACTTTAGCCACAAACCACATGCATATAGACTATAAAGTAATGAAAAAATTGCATAGAGTCTTCTATTAGGTACAAATTTATACTAGTGCAAGTAACAATTTACAAAAGTAATGTTTTCAAAAACCTGAAAACAATTTTAAAGCTCCTGAACGGAAACTTTGTCGTAGAAATTGTCTAAAATAATGGTCAAGGTTGTGAATTTTCAGAATAACAAATAACAGTTTTACTGTCAGTTCAAAATTGTTATAGCAAAACTATTAAAGCCACAAATTAAATATATATTTATTTTACGTTACTAGCTGTTTTAACAATATCAACAAACAAACTTACAAAATAATAATTATTCTTCAATGAAAGTAGGTGAATCGAACCTTTATTCTTCCAACTGGGAAATACTACAACACCAGAGATATTTGAATAAAACCTTGCCAACGAATGCTTAATATAAATTGTGTAACAAAAGAAGGAGTCTGGAAGTGAACGATTGTTGCTATCGACAGGTTCGGAGGGAATCCATCCAACTTTTCAAACCTTGTCTCTGAAGCTTCTATAATTTATAAAAGTTACACGTGCTTTGCGTTGATTCGCTAAATTTATCAGTTATTTTTAATAGATAGCCGAGTTGTTCAACTAATTACTGATTATGGTTCACCGGTTGAGTCAGCAAATAATTATTGGGTTGAGGCAAACATAGTTCTCCGTGATTATTGGACTAAAAATGAATAAGTCGATAATAGTTCTTTGTAGTCAGTTAAAAAGGGTGTACCATATCTACACACATCTACACAACATCTACCACCCATTATACACTTATAAAAATATACTCGGCATAAAATAAGTACAAGGTCCAGTGATATTCCCACCTTCAGTGGTAACAACAAAGATACTTATATTAATGTGATGTATGATAAAAAAGCTAAATTTTGACCATTTAAAAATAGAAATACAGTTCAACGTCCTTTAGTAAAATTAAAACTTGACTAATCCCACTTAAATTTAAAGTCATAAGGTACGCTGGACATTTTTAAGGTAAAGAATAACTGTCCTTATGATCGTATTTGCATATAGACATAACACTTTTTTACTACTATAATAGGATTCTATGTTATGTATAGCTATAATTGTGTATATGCTGAAAATATTATTGGTATTCAATGTGTTTGAAGCTTGAGGTATAGAATAAATTTTACTTTCAGTCCAACCAAATAGGCACCACTCTCAAAACATTAAACGTATTTACATATTAAACAAATTGCAAATATATTTTTTTTCTTTTACACATGAGATATCAATAATATTTTAATCAATTATCATATAAAGAGCCAATTGATTTTAACTCAACAATCTTATTCTGAATGAAAATCATTTAACAAAGGGTAGGCCTAAAGGTTTACTCTTGTATAGGGTAAATAATATGATGTGGCATACATTATTAATCAACCTTACACTCTTTTTGTTAACTATTCTAGAATATCGAAGAATTTACACTGAACGTAAGTAAATACACTAATATTTCAAAGAAAAATACACTTAATTACTTAAATACATAAATGGTTCCACAATAGGTAAAAACTTTTCCATAGGAAACAAAATAAAGTTAACCCCTGGAAAACTAATCGAAAAAACCTTCAAAGAGCAACAACATATTACTTCATAATTTTGAAAATGAATAAAAAAAGTCATTTAACTAACGTAAGCAATACCATAAATAACTTAAAATTAAGAGGGCATACAACATATACTTGAAAAAAAAAAGTTCCCACTCTTCAACGTACATCGACCCACCCCCTCTACACCTATTCTTCTAATTAGCCTAACTTCCTTAATTTGATCCATAAGTCAGTTGATTAAAACCAAAATAATACAAGTTAAAGCTCAAATTTATCCAA